ATTTATTTGAGAGAGAGAGTGTGTGCATGAGTCGGGGGGGAGGGGCCGAGGGAGAGAGAGAAGCAGGCTCCCCACTGAGCAGGGAACCCGACACAGGGCTTGATTCCAGGACCCTGAGATCATGACCTGAGCTGAAGGCAGACGTTTAACCTACCGAGCCACCCAGGTACCCACATATTTTTTCTTTTTATTGAAGTTCTTTTTTTTTTTTAAGATTTTATTTATTTATTTGTGACAGAGAACACGAGCAGAAGGAGAGGGAGAGAGAGAAGCAGACTCCCCACTGAACAGGGAGCCCGACGCTCAATCCCAGGACCCTGAGATCATGACCTGAGCTGAAGGCTGACGGTTAACCGACTGAGTCCCCCAGGCATCCCCTCTTTTTGTTGAAGTTCTTATTGTGTTCATCCTTTCTTCTCCTGAGATCAGTGAGCATCTTTACGACCATTACTTTGAATTCTTTATCGGGTAGGCTGCTAATCTCTATTTCATTAAGGTCTTTTCCTGAGGGTTTGCCTTCTTCTTTGGTTTGGAAAATATTCCTCTGTGTCCTCATTTTGCTTGTCTCTCTGTGTTTGTCTACATGTATTAGGTAAAACAGCTACCTCCCTCAGTCTTGAAGGAACAGTCTTGTGTAGGAAATGTTCCATGTGGCCCAAAAGTCTCCCTTGGCCCCCAGAGTCAGGCATTCTATGGTGTCCCTTGTGTGGGCTGCATGTGCATGCTGGCTGTGATAGGACCACAGCTGCTGTGTGGGGAGGGCAGGGCTCAGGGCACTTGCCCAGCTCTTTTGTGGCTGGGCTGCTGCATGGGGAGAGTGGGATTCAAGCTGCTTGCCCTTCCACTGTGGCTTGGTCTCTGCATGGGGAGGGCAGGGCTCAGGGCACTTGCCCTATATCCATTTGCAGCTTAGCCACTATGTGGGAAGGTGTGGATCAGGTCACTGACCGGGCCTGCTGGCATCTTGGCCACTGAGCAAGGAGAATGGGGCTTGGGATGTTCACCTGTCCTCCCTGTGGCTTGGACGCTGTGCAGGGTGCATGGGGTGCTAGCCCAGCCCGTCATGGCATGGGATGGGCAGAGCATGTCCTCTGGTGCTAGTAGGCACCAAAAATGGTGCCTGTTGGCTTCATCACCAGCAAATTAGGATGAGATCGCAAAAATGCTGCTGGCCAGCACATCCATCTCCAGATAAAGTCCTTGTAAGTTCCTGTCTCTGTGGCAGCTGCTTTAAAATTAGTGCGTGCTGGGCGCTGGGGGGCTCAGTCAGTTAAGCGTCTGCCTTCGGCTCAGGTCAGGATCCGGGGTCCTGGGATCGAGTCCGGCATCGGGCTCCTTGCTCAGCGGGGAGTCTGCTTCTTCTTCTGCCTGCTGCTTCCCCTCCTTCTGCTCTCTTTCTCTCTGACAAATAAATATATAAAAATCAAAAAAAAAATAACAACTAGACTTATGATTGATAACATTATACCAGGATATATCAGAGTTTTAGAAATTTAATAGAATTTCTGGGACACTTACATTTATATAAATATATATTTGGGACACCTGGGTGGCTCAGTCGGTTGGGCATCTGCCTGCAACTCAGGTCATGATCCCGGGGTCCTGGGATCCAGCCCCGCATCAGGCTCCCTGCTCTGCGGGGAGTCTGCTTCTCCCTCTGCCTGCTGTTTCCCCGGCTTGTGCTCTCTTTTTCTCTGACAAATAAATAAGGAAAAAAATTAGTGTCTCTCTCTCCTTTATTGTCTAGGCACTTTTCAATCTGTTGCTTCTGCACTGGATATCAGGGTGACTGGGTTTTGCGCAAGAGCCCTTTAAGAATGGGAGCTCTAGGGGCATCTGCCTCCGGCTCAGGTCATGATCCCAGGGTCCTGGGATCGAGCCCCATGTCAGGCTCCCTGCTCCACGGGAAGCCTGCTTCTCCCTCTCCCGCTCCCCCTGCTTGTGTTCCCTCTCTCAGTGTATCTCTGTCAAATAAATAAAATCTTAAAAAAAAAAAAAAAAGAATGGGAACTCTATGTTCCCTACATTCTATGATTCTCCTGGCCTTGATCCCCATTGATTTTCAAAACCAAACATTTTGTGGGCTTTCTGGTGCGGGCCCCCAGGGTCAGAGGTTGCTGATGTGGGACACAGTCCTTTTACTCTTTGAGTAGAGTTCCGTATTTTTGTGACCTCTTCCAGTTGTGGGGGGGTCACCACTCGTGGGGTCCCACAGGAGGTTCTGTCACTGCCTCTCCTGCCTTCTCGTTGTGTTTCTTTGCCTTTTGTTGTGGAGGCGCTGCTGTTCATCTAGTTCTCAGGTCGTTTTTAGAGAAAAGTTATTCTATATAGAGCTGTAAGTTTGTTGTGTCCATGGAAGGAGGTGATTTCCTGGTCTTCCCACAGGGCCGTCTCGAACTCCCATTGTGGTTTTAATTTGCAATTTCTTCATGACTAATGATGTTAAATATCTTTCCATGTGCTTATTTCTCATTTGTATATCTTCTTTGGTTTAATATCTTTTTTTTGCTTTTTTTTTTTTTTTTTAGTTTTGAGAGTTCTTTATATAGTCTCAGTACAATTTTTTTTTTTTTGCCAGAATGTGATTTGTAAATATTTTCTTTCATTCTGTGGCTTTTTCTTCTCTTAAGACGGTCTTTTGAATTTTGCTGTCCCATCTAAGAAATACTTGACTAACCGAAGGTTAAAGGATTTTCTCCTCTGTGTGTGTGTTTAAGTAGGCTCCACACCCAGCGTGGAGCCCAGCACGGGGCTTGACCTCACGACCCTGAGATCAAGACCTGAGCTGAGATCAAGAGTTGGACGCTTAACTGAGCCACCCAGGCGCCCCTCCTATATTTTCTTCTAGAAATTTTATAGGTTTAGATTTTACATTTAGGTCTGTGATCTGTTTTGAGGTTTGAGTTTTATACATGTGGGAGGTATTTGCTGGAGTTGTTTTTGCATATGTAGATCCAATTGTTCCAGCATCGTTTGTTGACATGGGAACTCCCATTTTCCCTTGAACTGCCTTTGTACTTTTGGCGAAAGTAATTTTCAAGTATAAAGGTCAAGATTAGAACAGGGCGAGGACCTCGGAACCCCCACTCTTGCCCTCTCTTTGTGTTGTTGAGGGACATCTGCATTTTTTCCACAATTTAGTTTTAGAAGTAGTGCTTCTGTGAACATCCTGTACTTGTTTTCTAGAGCATATATGCATGATTTTCTTTAAGCTGTGTACCTAGAAGTAGAATTGCTGCATCATAATGTATGCAAATCATTAACTTTAGTAAACACTGTCAATTTCCCCAAGCGACTCTGCCAGTATATATTCCTGCTAAGTGTGAGAGTTCTCATTTCACCACAATCTTATGATATTTTAGTCTGCTTAATTATAACCTTTTTAGTGGGGGCATAGGAGTGTCTCAGCATGGCTTAAATTTTCATTTACCTGAGTGCTGATTGGTACATTTTCTTATACTCATAGGCAATTTGGGTTTTGTTTTTAGTGAAGTACATATTCACATCTCTTCTCTGTTTTTTGGTGTTGTTTGTGTTTCTTATTGATTTGCAGGGGTTTTATATTTTCCAGATAAGATCCCTTTATCACTTTTGATTGTTGCAGATAATCTCCTCATTTAAGGCTTGCCTTTTTACTGTTCTACTTTTATTTTTTTGTTTTTATTAAATTCCAGTTAGTTAAGATACAGTGTATTACTATTTTCAGGCGTACAATAGAGTGACTCAACACTTGGCATACAACACCCACTGTTCATCACAAGTGCTCTCCTTAGAACCATCACCTGTTTCACTCATCCCCCCACCCCCTCCCCTCTGGTAACCAGCAGTTTGGTCCCTGTAGTCAAGAGTCTGTTTCTTGGCTTGCCTCTCTCTCTCTCTTTCGTTTTCCTCTTTCCTCATTCATTTTGTTTTTTAGATTCCACATATGAGTGAAATCATCTGGTATTTATTTTTCTTTGACAGACTTATTCCACTTAGCATAATACTTTCTAGCTCCAACCACGTTGCAAATGGCAAGATTTCATTCTTTTTTATGGCGGAATACTAGTCCATTGTAGATCTAGACCGCATCTTCTTTATCCATTCATCAGCCGATGGACATTTGGGCTCTTTCCATAATTTGACTCTTGTTGCTAATGCTGCAGTAAACATCGGGGTGCATGTACCCCCTTCAAATCAGTATCTTTGAATCCTTTGGGTAAATAGCTAGTAGTGCAGTTGCTGGATTGTAGGGTAGCTCTATCTTACACTTTCTGAGGAACCTCCATACTGTTTCCCAGAGTGGCTGTACCAGTTTGCATTCCCACCGCCCTTTCTCCACATCCTCGCCAACACCTGTTGTTTCTTGTGTTGTTAATTTTAGCCATTCTGACAGGTGTGAGGTGGTAACTCTCTCATTGTGGTTTTGATTTGTATTTCCCTGACTGTTGTATTTTTAATCTTGTAACATTTATAAATCTTTTCCTTCACGAGTAGCGCTTTTCACATCTTGTTTTAGAATTCTTTCTACACCAAGACTATGAAAACATTTTCCTGTACTGTTTTCTAGGCACCTTATTGTGTTATCTTTCACATTAGATTTACAATTTCTCTGTAGCTCATTTTTGCGTGTGGTGAGTTAGTGGCTAAATTCTACCCCCTATGGATATCCAGTAATCCATCCACATTTATTTGAAAAGATCATCCTCTCCCCACTGCCTTGCAGTGTCAACTTTGTCATAACTCAGTTGTCCATATGGCATTTGGATTCTCTTTTTAGTCCTACTGGACTATTTGTCTATCCTTGTGCAAATACCACATTGTCTTACATACATTCTGTACACTTATGGAATATTCCATGTACTTGATGGAATAGTTTTTCTGCCATGGTTTGTGATTTTCCAACAAGGTAGGCATCCTGTATTAAGTCATCATCACGAACTGGGAACCCAATCAGCAGTTCCCTACATTTCATCCTCATCACCCAGTGGTCAGTATTTTAGAGTAAAAGGAATGTGCAATTACAGGGACTCGTGACATTCGGGGATGTGGTTGTGGATTTCACCCCAGAGGAGTGGCAGTACCTGAACCCTCCACAGAAGACTCTGTACAGAGAAGTGATGCTGGAGACCTACAGCAACCTGGTCTCTGTGGGTAAGAATGGCTTCCTCAGGTAATTTTGCTGCTTATGATTATTGTGTCTGATAGAGGGCCTTTCCTTTCTCGGTTTGGAAAACTGGTAAGGTCTCTGAACTGCTTGAAAAGTTGGACATTGAGTTCCAGGGATCGAAGTTTCCTGACAAGGGTGTTTGTGAACTCAAAACCCAGGTGAAATGGTTCGACTTGACCACTGGACCACTGTGTCAAGTGATCGGTCTTTCATGCTGCCCCAGACCCCACTGCCCTCTTTCTCAGAGGCTCTGAAGATCCAGGACGTATCACTGTCATTTCTCATTAGCAGGGCCGCAGGTGACCAAACCAGACCTCATCCTCAAATTGGAGGTAGAAGAGCCATGCCCAGCAGAAACAAAAATCTCCTTTTGGAGCTTTCCAGGTGAGTGGGATTGACTCAGACGACAGGGACAGGAGGTGCCAGCTTGTCAGCCATGGGTCAGGACCTCTGAAAGGGCTTTCAGGAATGTCTGGAGAAAGGTTGTGACCCTTTGATCTTGTTGGACAGGGACATGAATACCTCAGACATAAGACTGACACCCCTCGCCCCTGTCCCACACCCACCAGACCACTCCCCTTAAGTTGGTGCTCACCCAGAAGTTTCTGCATAGCTCCTTTTCCCGGTGGATAAGTGTCTTGTAAGTGCCAGTCCCCGCTTACGCCCTGTCACTTCTCCCATTCTCACTTCACTGCTTTATCTGAAGCCAGGCCCACCTGAGTCACAGGCCATAGGCACTACTGCTCTAATTCCATATTGGATTACCTGTTGCCATTCAGTTTAGATATTTCGATCAGATTTGCTCTCCTAAAACATCTTGATTATCTTTGTTTAAAAATAGCTTTTTTGAGATAGAATTCAGACCATAAACTTCGCTCTTTTTGAGGTATATAAATTCAGTGATTTTTAGTATATTCACCAAGTTATGAAACCATCACCATTATCTAATTCTAGAACATTGTCATCACCGCAGAAAGAAACCCATACCCCTTACCAGTCAGTCTCCATCCCTTGGCAACCACTTTCTGCCTCTATGGTTTTTTGTTTTTTTAAAGATGATTTTTTTTTTAAAGATTTTATTTATTCATTTGAGACACAGAGATAGAGAGAGCATGAGCAGGGAGAGAGGCAGAGGGAGAGGGAGAAGCAAGCTTCCTGCTGAGCAGGGAGCCCGATGCGGGACTCGATCCCAGGACCCTGGGATCATGACCTGAGCTGAAGGCAGACGCTCAACCATCTGAGCCACCCAGGCGCCCCTCTGCCTCTATGGTGTTGCCTATTCTGGAGATTTCATGTAAATGGAACCGTACAAAATGTGGCCTTTCATGTCTGGTTTCTTACAGTTGGCATGATTTCAAGGTTCATTCATGGTGTAGCATGTATCAGGACTTCATTCGTTTTTCTAATGGAATGATATCTGCTGTATGGATACACCACTTTTTCAGCCATTTATCTGCTGATGGGTATTTGGGTCGATCTCACTTTTTGGCCATCATAAAGCTGCTGTGAACATTCATGTAGAATGTTTTATGGAGGTGAAGGTTTTAATTCCTTTTGAGTGTGGACATAGGAGTGGAATTGTTGGACCACATGCTTAACATTTTGTGGAACTGCCAAATGATGAATATCCCATTTTCAAAAATTTTTACCCAGTGTTTTGACATTCACAGGATTCTTTGCCTGAATCAATTTATAAGATGGTTGGAAGCAGGGGGAATTTTCTCTCATTCCTTCTCCATTTATAAGTTGGCACTCTTCTCTTGCCCCATCCCATTAATGAATTAATTTTAGTATCAGTATGGACTCAGATTGTTATTTTTCAGTGTGTTAGAATGCATTAATGTCTTCTGTCATTATTCATTTTGATGTTCAAATTGTCCTCAATTTGTCCAGGAGGAGTCCCTTTGGGCTGGCTCCTCCATCTCTTAACATGACCCCATCATTCTCTGAGCACTTTCTAGCACAGAAATATATTCCAGGTTCACACTGTACTTTCCCTGTTTCAGACCTAGAATCAGCAGCTTCTCCAAGGATTTTTGATTCCTTTTAATGGGGAATGGTACTGAGAAATCAGGATCTGGGTGCTGAGTGTTCTCATAGCTACTTGGATTCTTGTTTCTCATAACTTACAAATGATTCCCAGCTATCTTCCCCCCCCTTTTATTTTTTTAAAGTAACTGGTTAATTTGTCTTTTAGTTCTGCATGTTCTGGACTTTGCTGAGTACCCTATGGTATTTAACATATTCCTCTGTCCTTTATTTTTTTCTTGTAAATTGGTGGTTAGATTTTGAAGTTTGATCAGATTCAGGGTTTTATTTTTTTCTTTTAGCAAGTTTACTTCCTAGCTGCTATGACATCCTTTCATCAGGAGGCATGCAGCACATGGTTGTCTATTATAGTTATGAGTTCTTGGTGATTATTGCTTGTATGCACTAATGTTTGCAAAATGGTGAATTCTCTTGTGCCTTGTTGATAAGCTGGAATACTTCTGTAAAGAGGATTGCCTCTCATCTGTTATTTGCTTATATGTTAGTTCCAGGAATTCCATTTCAGTTATGTGTGTTTGCCCATTTGTTTACCACTTTTAAAAATGAGTTGGTTTTATAGCATCAAAAGTTGACTAATATTTTTTAATATCAATATCTTGTGTTTTAATCAAACAAACATTGCCTTATCCTCATTATGAATCAAACTGCCCTATCTCTGGTGAGCAGAAACCCCTTCACATTGGCTCCTGAGTCTTTGGTAGCTTTGCTTTCTGGTGTTACAAGATGTTCCAGGCTCATTTTATATAGTTCCCATTTCTGGCCTGGAATCAGCCATTTCTCCAAGGAACCCTGTTTTTGTTTTTGTTTTTTTTGTGGTAATAGTGTTTTGAGACCACAATTAGGATGTTAGGGAATTGTTTCTAGGCTTTTTAAAAATTGACAGACTAGGAACCATGTATAAACGATTTTTTAAAAGATTTTATTGGAGAGAGCGAGAGTGTGTGTGCACGAGCAGGGGGAGGGGCAGAGGGACAAATAGACTCCCTGCTGAGCGGGGAAGCCTAATGCAGGGCTTGATGCGTGACCTGAGCCAAAGGCAGATGCTCAACTGACTGAGCCACCCAGGTGCCCCGTAAAAAAAATTTTTTTTAAGGTTTTATTTGACAAAGACACAGCGAGAGAGGGAACACAAGCAGGGGGAGTGGGAGAGGGAGAAGCAGGCTTCCAGCCGAGCAGGGAGCCCGATGCGGGGCTCGATCCCAGGGCCCTGGGATCATGACCTGAGCCAAAGGCAGACGCTTAACGACTGAGCCACCCAGGCGCCCCCCCCATAAAAAAGATTTTTAAGAGAAAATACATCATGTATTCAAATTGATGCTTCCCCTTCATTTAAAAAAATTGGTATTTCCAAATCAAATTCTGGACTTAAAGGTTTTTGTTAATCTTACATCTGATGGTAATATTGTTATTATTCTGAGACTGCTGTCGATAGTGGTTTGAATCAATTGAGGTAATCATGTTGGTGCCATTGAGAATCAAGACTTTTCAGCAGTGGTTGTTTGGAAATACAGATGAGGGTATATTATTATTATGGAATCCTTTTAAATTCAGTTTTGCTTTATGAATATATAAAACACTTAACTTGGTTCCAAAGTCGAATCTAGAAAACAAGGTATATTTAAAGAAGTTCAGTTTCCCTTCATTTCACTCTCTTCCTTCCTTCTGTAGGTAACCATTTAAAATTTAAAGGTATATTCTTCCCTTGTTTACATGATGAGTCTATATAAATAGGTATTCATAGTTCTTTCCTTAGAAAAATGGTAGCCTACTATGTACAGTTTTATTCACCTTTTTTCACTTAATGGTCAAGAGCATGTTAAATATATTGAGTTATTTCTTTTTATAGTAGTGTAGCGGCTCTTACCCAGATTTTTGTAGTAGTAGCATCAGTTGTTCTAGTAAACAGTTGAAAGTACTTCCTGTGTGTCATGCATGCCCCGTTAGAAGTCGCTTAATCCCTGTTAACATATTTAGGTGGGCACTATTATAATTCCTGTTTCCAGGTGGGAAATAAAATACAAATAGATTAGGTAAGTTGCTGAGGTCACAGGTGAATGGTTGAGCCAGGATTTGATCCTGGGCTAGAGAGCTTATGGCCCTAACCATGCTGCTTCTTACCACCTAACGATGTCCAGATTTAGTAGATGCTTGGTGGAACTTAGGTGGTCCCAGCAGATGTATTTTGTAAAGACTTTTTCTGTGATTCTGATATATATGCCTAAACTATTTTTGCTAATGATATTAAGGATGTCGTAGGAACATGGTCCATTTTAAAATTCAGTATTAATATTGTAAATGTTACCACTAGTAAATCTGAGTGGTAGTATGAGTAGTTTTTGTACTCTCTCATCTTTTCTGTACATTTTTTTCACACAAAATTTTAGGAAAAGGTGAAAAACTACGAAGATGATTAAAACTCAGTATATATGCAAAAAGTATTTACCATATTTTATTGACTTCAAGATCCAATTGATTTTAATACATACCACTAAGAAAAATTGCCACCAGTTAATTGATGACATGCCATTGATTATAAGTTACATCTGGATTCAGAAATGTGTTAAAATGTGAAATATGCATCTTGCAGTTGATGAAATATGGTATATTTAAGGCAAAGCTTTGCAACTTTAAACTGTCTAAACGAGTGGTATCGATAACTACTTTAGAAATTAACAAAAATTAAAGTTATACAGGAAGATCAGAATAAGCTTCTTTGAAATGAAAAGACTGAATTGCTTCTTGAAAGTTACCTAGATTTTGAATATAGCAAAATATGGGAGACTAGGCTGTGGGTGATAGAACATAAGGAAGGGTTTGGCATCAATACATAGTTTTTAAAAATTTTTTATTTTATGTTAATCACCATACATTACATCATTAGTTTTTGATGTAGTGTCCCATGATTCATTGTTTGTGCATAACACCCAGCACTCCACGCAGAATGTGCCCTCTTTAATACCCATCACCAGGCTAACCCATCCCCCCACCTCCTTCCCTCTAGAACCCTCAGTTTGTTTTTCAGAGTCCATCGTCTCTCATGGTTCGTCTCCCCCTCCGATTTCCCCCCACTTCATTCTTCCCCTCCTTTTTTTTCTTAACATTTTTTTCTTAACATTATAAATATTGCATGATTTGTTTTAGAGGTACAGATCTGTGATTCAACAGTCTTGCACAATTCACAGCACTCACCATAGCACATACCCTCCCCAATGTCTATCCCCCAGCCACTCCATCCCTCCCACCCCCCACCACTCCAGCAACCCTCAGTTTGTTTCCTGAGATTAAGAATTCCTCATATCAGTGAGGTCATATGATACGTGTCTTTCTCTGATTGACTTATTTCACTCAGCATAACACCCTCCAGTTCATCCACGTCGTTGCAAATGGCAAGATGTCATTCCTTTTGATGGCTCCATAATATTCCATGTGGTATATATATACCACATCTTCTTTATCCATTCATCTGTCGAATACAGTCATAGTTTTTAGCGAAAATAGCATAGACAGGAGCAGAAGGTGGTGTTGAAGAACTGTGAATGCAAGCTTGGATGAATCCAGATTGGGGAAAGATCTTTGAGTTTTTCTTTGTTTTTGTAAGGTTATTCTAGATCTTTCTCTGATTCACTAAGAATGTGGATTCAGGATTGTTGTAAAATTTGAGTCCACTAACCACACTGTTGCATTTCTACTTAGTTAGAAGTAGTATAAGTCATGTACACTTAGGAGTTCATATGACAAATGAAGATAAAGGTTGATAAGGTCCCCAGAGTTGACGGAGATCAGAGATGATGTAAACGTAGAGGTAAGACTGAGGTGTCAGGGTAACAAAACGCCTAGCAGGTGGGAGTTTAGTAAAAGAACAGGATTTGACGGTCAAGATCCTCTCTGGGAGCTCAGATAAAATGAGATAATAGTATCAGCTTTCATATGGTAGGGCATTTTTAAAGAAGGTTCATTATATAATGTTAAGTTACAAAAATGGTTTATTGTACTTCCTTCTAGAAGCAGCCTGTCAAATTGATGAACAGATTGAGAGACAGCACCGGGATGACCAAGATAGATATCTGTTGATGCAAGCTGGATTCCCTGACAAGAAAGCACTTATCACCAAGACTGGCCATGACTATAATAAATTTGGAAATGCACTTCCTCTGAACACAAACCTTGTTGCTTCAATACAAAGGTCCCATAAACATGAGCCATTTGGAAATATGGTAGATGGTTTAGACTTATTTACCAGAAGCTCTGTAGGAAAGAAACATGATAATGGATGTGCAAAATTATTCTTCCATACGGAGTATGAGAAAACAACTCCTGGAGTAAAGCCCCACGGATATAAAGAGTGCGGGAAGGCCCTCAGGCGGAAGAAAGGGCTTAGTCTACAAGAGAGAATTAAAAATGGAGAGAAACCCTTCGAATGCACCGCGTGTAGGAAAACCTTCAGCAAGAAGTCACACCTCATTGTACATTGGAGAACTCATACGGGAGAGAAACCCTTTGGATGTACTGAATGTGGAAAAGCCTTTAGCCAAAAATCTCAGCTCATTATACACTTGAGAAGTCATACAGGAGAGCGACCCTTTGAGTGTCCAGAATGTGGAAAAGCCTTCAGAGAGAAGTCAACCGTCATCATACATTACAGGACTCATACAGGAGAGAAACCTTATGAATGTAATGAATGTGGAAAAGCCTTCACTCAGAAGTCAAACCTCATTGTCCATCAGAAAACCCACACGGGCGAGAAAACTTACGAATGCACTAAATGTGGGGAATCTTTCATACAGAAGCTTGATCTAATTATACATCATAGTACTCATACAGGAAAGAAACCCCATGAATGTAATGAGTGTAAGAAAACTTTCAGTGATAAGTCAACTCTCATTATACATCAAAGAACTCATACAGGGGAGAAACCTCATAAATGTACCGAATGTGGGAAGTCTTTCAATGAGAAGTCAACCCTCATAGTGCATCAGCGAACTCATACAGGAGAGAAACCCTATGAATGTGATGTGTGTGGGAAAACCTTCACCCAGAAATCAAACCTTGGCGTACATCAGCGAACTCATTCAGGAGAGAAACCTTTTGAATGTAATGAATGTGAGAAAGCATTCTCTCAGAAATCCTATCTCATGCTCCACCAGAGGGGTCATACAGGAGAGAAGCCCTATGAATGCAGTGAATGTGAAAAAGCATTTTCCCAGAAATCATACCTCATCATACATCAAAGAACTCATACGGAAGAAAAACCCTATAAATGTAACGAATGTGGCAAAGCCTTCAGAGAAAAGTCCAAGCTCATTATACATCAGAGAATTCACACAGGAGAGAAACCCTACGAATGTCCCGTATGTTGGAAAGCTTTTAGCCAAAAGTCCCAGCTCATAATACATCAGCGAACACACACAGGAGAGAAACCCTACGCATGCTCTGAGTGTGGCAAAGCCTTCAGAGAAAAATCCACATTCACTGTACACCAGAGAACTCATACCGGAGAGAAACCCTATAAGTGTGCAGAGTGTGGGAAGGCCTTTACCCAAAAATCAAACCTGATTGTACATCAGAGAACACACACGGGAAAGAAGGCCCACGGGAAGGGCCACAGCCGGAAGTCAAAGCTCATTGCACATTAGAGAGTAGATCAAGGGTGCCTGTCAACGTTCACGGAGGGAAAGTTTTGTCCGTTTAATTAACATTTTAAAAGTACGTTCTGATTTCTGGTTTAAATATGGGGAGTAAAAGTCATTCTCTCTCCTTTTCATCTCAGTCTTCACCCAAACACTACAAGGAGCAAAAGCGGAAGTGTAATCTCTGTATCTGACACGAGGAGATAGCGGAAACCCTGATGAGCGCGCTGCCAGAGGCAGAGGGGATCGAGCGCCAGGGCAGGAGGTTTCGAAGCGAACGCTCAAGGCTGCACACGTGGGGCCGCACTGGTGAGGACTCTTAGTTGAGGTTCAGGATATCCCCCGAGTGCAAGGCCAACTACATCCACCACAGTAACAGAGGGCATTGGCAGGTGGGAGGTAGGATGTCTCCCAGACCCATTTGGGGTCTGAGGAGATACCAGCAGCGGCCTCTACAAGGAATCGCTCAGACAAGCCATATTTGTAGAAAGTAGTCTGCACTCATGAGAGGAGCACTCGACGGGCTGGGGCAAGAGAAGGGAGTGTTCCTTGTGAAGAACCCGACAGCTGCCCCGGTTTACGGACTCTGGAGAAGTCAAATCTAAAAGAAATACCAAATGGGGGAAAAAAACCAGTTGTAGGAAAAAAACTTATCTGCCTAGAATGTGGCCCCCATTTCTTACCCCACGTGAACCTCCAGGAAACAGCAAGTCCAGGAAAAACTCTTATTCAAATAAAAATGATTCCAAAGTAATGAAAACCACAAAGGCAGTGGCCTTGGAGCCCACAATTCCACTTCTAGGAATGTATATACTCATGTATGTACAAAATGAACACACAGAGATACTCACTGGCGCACTGTTTGTGAAAACCAAAGGTTGGAAGCTGTCCAGATGACGGGTCTGGATCCTGAAATCCTGGTATGTTCCTACAGCAAACCTCCTAGGTAGACAAAACGAAAGAGAACTTGGACATCATGTGTGTAGTGATGTGGGACAATCTCCAACATACATTATTAGGTGCAAAAAGCAAGGTGCAGAATAGCGAATACAATACGCTAACATTCGCATATAAAAAGAACAAATTGCAAGTACATGATTGAGCATATATGCATAAGCTGTCTCTGGGAAGATACACGAAAGCTGAGAACCCTGATTACCTCTGAGAAAGGGCAGGGGACGTGGGTGGCTGGGGGACTGGAATCGGGAGACAACTGTATGTCCTTCCATAACTTTTCGAAAATTGTGCTCTGTGGCTGTACTACCTTTTCAATAAATAAAACGTTTTAAAAGGAATGTTTTGCTCCATTGCTGTGATAATGAAGTTAGATTCTAGATGCAGGATTTCCTAACATTCAAGACACAGATGTTCAATGTGGAGTTTAATGTTTTGAGTGAATGATAAATAGAATCATCTGTCAGAACAAACTGATATCCAGCCAGTTCCAAAGGCACATAGGCCTTGCTTTCCTGAGGGTGCCAAATAAGGTGATTCTTAGGTCATCTGGGACATCACATAAACCTGAAATAACTGAGACTGGAATGCATTTCTTAATTTAGTGTGCACTGTGACCTCTGAAATATCCTGTAAATAAAGCCCACTGTCGTCTTTCCATATTTTAACAAAATGATTTACGTTACTTCATTTTGTGCTTGTGGGTATGCATATTTTTATTGTAAGGGATAAAAGCGTGAATACCCAGGCAAATTGGGCAGCTCGCCCCCTAGGTCACACTACTGCCGGTGATCTGTCAAGAGCCATGGCCCGAACGGACACAGCCAAAGACCAGGTAGCAGCACGTCTGCCCCAGAGTAAGAGGCCCCACTATGTGACCATATTTGTGGCCCTCGTGATTCCGCGGCTTTTCCCTGGGACTTAGATCTCTGGTGGAACTGGGGAACCCAAGCTGTGTAAAACCGGGGCAGGGTCAGTGTTTGGATTTAACAGAACAGGTGAGTGAGTCAGACCTCTGAGACCCTTCCTGTCTCCTGCCGGGCCTTGTTTTTCCCCTAAATTATCCTACAAGAAAATGAGGTGTGGGCTCACTTTTTACGAGCTATGTACGTCAGGTCACACTGAGGGCCTTTCCAGGGAGAAGGAAGCTTGGGGAAGAAATGTCCGGCTAAAGGACTTGCTTCTGGGGCAGCCTGCTGAGAGGATGCCCAAAGGCACCAGAAATGAAGCATTTCCTCTTCCTGCCGATAAAGAATATCCCTGGGGGTTTCAGGACCGTCAAAGGTCAGCCTGAAGGGCAGTGTGGACAGCAGTCAGATCTTGCCATTTCACGTTGATTGTGGACACTGGCTTCCTCGGACACAGATGGCAGTCTGATGGGCCACGTGTGTGAGTGGGAGTGAGTGAGGCATGGACCACGGCGGGGAAAGGGTGGGGGTTGAACAGCAGGATGTGGATGAATGGACCAGAATCGGGGGAAAATAGATGAGGGTAATGAAGGGCCGAGTGGGGGGAGGTGGGGGGAGATGGGGGGGTGCAGAATGAGGGCGAACAGGGAAGAGTAGGGACAAAGGGTAAATAGCCAGTGGGGGCAGTTGCTGGAGAAGAAAGGGTAGAAGTCAATGTGAGTAATGCTGGGGAAAGTGGAAGCGAGTAGTTGGAGTGAATGCACAGAGAGTGGATGTTGGAAATGTGGACGGAGCACAGTAAGTTGGGATGTGAAGCACAGTGGGAATGACAGTGGTGAATGGGGCAGACAGTAAAGAACAGACAAGTGGCAAAATGTGGCAGAGCACTAGCAGGTGTGAAGAGGAAGACTACGGGTTGACGTGGGACAGACCGCTGGATCTGGGGAGTGAAGGGTGCTCTGTGGAGTTGGGCTGGAGGGTCTTGGGTTTCAGGGATGCAGGATCTCATGGTATCGGCAATGAGGGTTTGGTGAGGACTGAGTGGAGGAGGCAGGAGGTGGTCATGGGTTTCTGCATAAAGAGGAGCTGCCCCGAGGACCCCATGGTGACTAGAGGTATATGGGATGGGAAGAGCCCATGCTTGGGACACAGTGCTCAACGAATGTCCCATGTCCCATGTCCTTATTTGTATATTCTGGGAGAGGGAGAGGCCCCACCACAAGTGTAACCCTGATACCACCCCCAAATCAGCTCTGCTGTGCCCGGAGGCCAGCCCTGAGTCCTGTCCCCCATTATTTATGCCAGTTATTTGTTGTCCTGCTTTAGCTAAAACCTCTAAAATGATACACATAATGATGGCTCTTCAACCTGTTTCCCAGAACCCCTGAGACTACCCTCGGATCCCTAAGATCAACCCTGTGACCCTTGATTGGCCCCATGACCACCCAGATCAGCACTGGACCCCCAGTATTGTAACCAGTTACTTCCTATTGTCTTCCTTAGGAAAAATCTCCAAACTGTGAATTAGGATCCCTTCTCACTTCCTCCTTTGGGAATGGTTACTATGAGAAATTCCCTTGATTGAATGATGGACTCCAGTATGCTACCAGGCAAGCTATCCCAGAGGTCTCAGAATAGGAAGGCTCACAGACCAAAATAAAAATGCTCCAGTCGTGTGGCTTACTGTCACTTAAAAAACACAAGATCCATATATTTAAAAACCCACCAAGAAGCAAACGGAAAGAGGTGGCTAAGTTAACATTTAGAATAGGGGGCAAACAGGGTGAAGGACCACATTTCCTGACTCCTTTGTTGTGTAATGTTCATACACCCTTATCTCTGTTCTCACTCTGTGTCTCTCGCATCAGCCTCACTGATGAGGAGGACCAGAGTTGAAGTTTAAACAAGCGGCCGATCAGACTGAGGATGCCCAGGGCCAAGGACATCCCCTTGCTTGCCTCCACTGTAGCTCACCAGTTAGCTTCCTGCACGGTCCTGGGTTTTATCAATAGAACCATCCCGAGTGTCACCAACTGGTTGTGAATTTAAGTAAAATGGAGCTGTTGGTTTGGGTGGTAGGATACCTTATGACCTAGTCTTTGTATTCCTTTCTGTCTTTAAGTACCACTCGTGTTTGTTCCATCATATATTCCATTTATTCTATTTATCTTGAGCGTATCCCATCACCTACCAACTTACCTGCTAACTATATTTAACACATCTTACGAATTCTGCCGGTGCCTTCAAAGCACTTTGCTTACTCATTATTTATACTTCACGCCTTATGAGTTTGGATACATCTCAAGCTCCTCGCTTATTATCTGTGCTTCACACTTAGGAGTTTCCTCCATCACATTTGTTTTCCTGTCCTCTAGAGGACAGGCAATAAGAGAAAAATCGAAGGGAGTTTTTTGAAAAGGTTAATAAATGTGAGAAACCGCAGACTGATCAAGAAAAAGGGAAAACACAAATTTTCAAGTTAGGAGTGATATAGTGGACTTCACTACAGATTTTATAAACATTAAACAAATTAGGGAATTATGAAAAAAGCCTTATGCCAATAAAATCGACAATTAAGCCAATGTAATTAACGCGAAGGGGATCTCACACGATTCAGCACCCATTCAGAATATAAATTCTTCGCAAACTAGGAATAGGAGAGAACTTCCTTGGTCTGATAAAGGGTGTATTAAAAAAGAAAAATTGGTGACAGTAAAAGCCTTCCTCGTGAGACTCGGAAGGAGAACTGGGATGCCTGCTGTACTGGAGGACTTAGTGATAGACAGTGAGAGAGAAAAGAATGACTGGAAAGGAATAAAGCCCCCAATTTTTACAGATGACATTACACAGAAAAATCCAAAAGCATCTGTAAATGAATTGTTAGACTTCAGTGAATTTTGTAAGGCTGCTAAATATAAGCTAGAACACAAATTGTTTTTCATTCTACTGACAACAACTAGAAGACAAACACCATAGCTTCAGTTTGGGGGGGGGGTGTGCAGAGAAGAACAAATAATGGATAGGGCCAGGGAATGGAGATCCCTGAAAGGAGGAGTTTACATGTGGGTGGGGTGGAATTTGACTGGGGGACACAGAAAACAGCTTAAAGCTTCTCACAAGAACGAGAGAAGAAAGCAGAAGAAACAAAGGTCACTAAGTTAAGGATGGATCTATAAATGTCTGAATGCATAAGAAAAGGGATTGATGACAACTGGAGGGTTTGAAAATGCAAAGGCCAGGGAAAGGGAGAATGACTCAGAAGGGCTTGTTCCAGCTGAAAGGCAGGGATGAGATCTTGAAGAAAAGGAAGGCAGGCGTGGTTCTTTCTCAAAGCTAAGCAAAGAATATTGGGGGGCGGCACGCACGGGAATGTGGAAAGGTTATTTTTTTTTTTAAGATTTTATTTATTTGAGAGAGAATGAGAGAGAGAGAGAGAGCATGAGAGGGGGGAGGATCAGAGGGAGAAGCAGACTCCCCGCCAAGCAGGGAGCCCGATGCGGGACTCGATCGCGGGACTCCAGGATCATGACCTGAGCCGAAGGCAGCCGCTCAACCGACTGAGCCACCCAGGCGCCCATGGAAAGGTCATTTAATCTGAGGAGCTCACGCCCATGTCCTATAATCACCAGAGGCCTACCTCCTCTCCTTTCAGGAAGACCAAAGATATGTTGTTCGCATGTCAAGTCTCTCACCAGATAAAACCTTCCATCCACCATCCCCAATCTTCCTAGTTCTCACTCACCTATGCCATGTTAGATTTTTCTGCCATCCAAGACT